AGTCAAATGCCTTTGCATAATCAATGAAACACAGATAGACATTCTTCTGGTATTCTCTGCTTTGACATACACTTCCGAAATGGCTTGCCTCCAGAAACTCTATGAACAGTGCTCAGGCCTTTCGTTCATAGGGTCACTATGAGTAGTCTACAAATGGATGGTACCTAACAACAACAACAACTCCCTTGTGATTAGCCTTTATTTACCTTCCTGATGAGTCTCAATAAATACACAGAGAGGCATGGCTTGGAAGCTTCAGTCATCAGGACTGCTGGCCCCCTGTCTTTACTCTCGCTTATCTCCTTCTTGGTTGTCTGTCTCATTATTACTTTACCCTCGGTCTGCAACAGCACCTCTTTACCACTAAGCCACCAGAGCTCCTCATAATTACGTACATGTGTATATACACATATGCTTACTTAAGTGTGTAGAGAGGGAGAGCTTCGAACTGTGCTAAGCATGTAGAAAGCACCTTATACATGTTTTCCATCATGGCTCCTGCATTCCCATCACATTGATTATCCTCCCCAGTCTCCTTCTCAGACCCCCGTAGTCACCGGCTCCCCACCTGATAATAATGCACCAGAACCCGCGTGGTCTTCTCCAAGGCTGTGAAGTTGAGATAATTGGTAGAGTTCTCGCGGCTGGCAGGAGGAAGAAGGGTAGGAACAGGAAACGACAGAGCTTCAGGGCTGCCCCTGAAGGTGTCTCAGGCTAAGAGCATCAGAGAGTGAACAGGCATGTGGGTAAATGCAGCCCTGATGCATGCAGACAAGACAGTGCAAAGGGACAATGTGTACTGAATGAGTGTGTACAAGTTGGAACATTCACAGGCACAAACATACAAACAGGCACATAACACATACATTCTCATACTCAGATGTACACATATACACTGGTATACAATTGATCATGTCCGTGCAGTGGTAGAGACTGAGCTAAGGCAGCACCTGCTGACCACCATGTAAACAGCATATTTCACAGGCAGTTCCAGCTGGAATTCCGTTTTATCGGTCCTGGGCATGTTGTTCTCACTGAAGGGAAAGAAAGACAGCTTGTGGGTTCTTGAAAGCTGGGACTTAGCCTTTCTTTCTTCCTGTTCCTCACCACCCACCTCCAGGAGATTACCAAGACCTGTCATAAGGTTGCTGTGAGCCATGCTCAACTTGATGGCACTTAACAACCACAAGAACGTCATTCTAAACATCACTGCTCTCTAACTTCCTCCCCTACTGCACAGGCCCCTCTCCATCAATAATGACGTCTGCAGAAGCCTCTCCTAGCCAGTCCCTTGATTGAAAATTGTTCCCACTCTAATCCCCAGCCTTCCTGAGAAGTGATCTTTCTAACATACAAATCCAAACGTGTCACTCTCGTTTATTAAACTGCAAATTTCCCTAATGCCATTCCATCAGTCATCTCACCACATGGAGCAGCCCACCTCTCCAGCCCATATCTCTGTCACTAACTCCCTAAATCCTGCACTGTGTATTTAAATCACATTGAGATTTCATTCTTCACGGTCCTGGTGTCCTTCCTGACCTTTGTTTACCAACAGTTCATGCCTTTATCGATCAATGTACAGCCTAAATTTTCAACAATCTTCTCTAAACACCAAGCTCCAAAGAACACTGTACATTCTTTATGTAAGCACTGTAAGCCCCCTTATTCATTATCCAGCTCTCAGATACATAACAATCAAATGAAAATACCATGGCCTGAATCAGGCACACCTTAGTCCTCAAGGTAACTTCATTACTCCTCAATATTTGGAGATGTCTCTGACCATCGACTTTCCTAGTGCAATATGTCTCCTGATCTCCTGACTGCTGGTCCCCAGTGTATTGATCATGGATCCCAATAAGAGGAAGTTGTTGTCAGTCTGTCTCTTCTCCACCTATCATGATGTTGCCTATCGGTCCAGTGTCAAAGATTTTTGCTCATTTCATAATGTGGTATCACTGCCAATTTGTGTGTGTATCTTCATCAGTAAATTGTAATCCCTCTTAGGACGAGAACCTAATCTGTCTTATCCATGACTGTCTCACCCACAATGAGCACAGAACTTGGCATTTGGTGGGTGTGTCATCAGTGTTAGATGAGCTGATGAGAAACTTTGTGGTGAAAGAGGCAAAACCCGACCTGGACGAGGGGCTGTGGACACTTATGGAGGGCGGGGCAAAGCACACCTGGTCACATTGGCTCTGAGGAGCATTTTGTTTCCAAGAGAAGCACCCGAGTCCACATCCAACGTGATATTAAAAGTCACCTGGAGTTGGAGAAATGAAAGGTGGTGATGAGGATGGAAAAGGAGAAACAACTCAAGTGCCCATCAACTGATGAAATAACAGGTCCACCCGACGGAATGCTATTCAGCAATAAAAAAGGAATGTAGTCCTGTTACATGCTTCACAATGTGGATAAACTTCGAAAATATCACACGGAAACAGAAGGAGCTAGGCAAGATGGACCACGGGGGTCTGATTGTATTTATATGAGAAAGCCAAAGGAGATCAATCCATTGAACCAGAAAGATTCATGATTGCTAACTTCTGGTGAGGCTGGGAGACTTGGAGAGGGTGAGGGCGATTATCTCTGTGAGATAATGGTGGTGATATATGCACTGTTCTGTGAAGATACTACAAATCATCGAACTGTACTTTCAAGGAGTGAACTGTAGGTATGCAAATGATCTCTATAAAGCTGTCTTTTAAAAAGGAATTTGTTGTTGTTGTTGTTATGTGCCCTCGAGTTGCTTGCGACTCATAGCGACCCTATGTACAAAAAAGGAATTTACTTTTTAAAAAAAGAAAACTAATCAAAGAGATAGTTTTTAGGATAAAAGAGAAAAGAAAAGAAGAGAGAAAGCCAGTAATTCTGACCTCAGAGTTTTCAGGGAAGATGGGATGGTTTATATTGCAAATGCCACTCCTTAGACTCCCAGGCCCTTCAGAAGAGGTCCCAGATTCGCAGAACACGCGCCAGGAGCGATGGGAGCGTGGGTTCTAGAAGGCAAGGGGTATGGAGAAGGTCCCATCAACCTTCACCCCCAGGGGAAGGCGAAGATCAGACAGAACCTGAGATAATGTTGACTACCTGAGCCGCTGACACTCTCCGAAAAGACAAGCCAGGTGGGAAGAAGAAAGCCACGTGGGTTCTGTAGGAGTCCTCGCCCTGGTTTCTCACAGTAAACGTCACATTGAGGTCCGGGGGTCCACCCACCACCAGCGTGTCCAGGCTGCAGAAAGAGCAGGAGAGACCACGAGGTGCTGGGATAAATGGGCTGTGGTGGAGAGATGATGTGAAGACTTGAAAAGAGAAGACAGTTGATTTGACAGCAGGAGACACAGCCTCCCTTAAAGAGATGCTCTAAGGTAGGATCTCTCATAACCAAGGAGCGCAGCAGAAGGCTTGGTCATGAGGTAGGTTTACACGTAATAATAACAGAAGGCAAACCTCCTCACTTCATAAAACTGAAGGTGATGCTGAGGTCATCTTGGCAGATGCTGTCATTGCCACAGTTCTTCTCAAAGGGAAACTATTTTAAAAAAAGAAGAAGAAGAAAAGGAAAGAAATGGAATCAGTGGAATGCTGGGAAATCAAACACTCAGATGAGACAGAGAAATAAAATTACATGATGCTAAGATGAGACAGTAAAGTAAAATCACATGAAGTAGAAGAAAAGGTGCTTAAATAATCTCACCTCTGGTCTTTCCTGCGCCCTGTAAAAGGCTCCCACTATAGCACTCACCATATAATCTCACCTCTGGTCTTTCCTGTGCCCCGTAAAGGGCTCCCACAACAGCACTCACCATGGCTGTGAAGACCCGCTGGGCATCCATGGCCAGCACAGGTCGAAGATTTCCAAAAGAGACAGAAGGCTTCCCTTCCAGAGTGAAGTTGAGGCGCAGGAGGATGGGGGTCACTGAGTCCTCAACACAATCCTGAGAGACAACAGAATCTGCCCTCCTCAGCTGACCACGCCCATCCCATGGCTGGAGGACCCAGGGGTCTTGTTACACCACCCCCCCCCC